AGTGGTATTTTTCACAGGTGTGTTGCGGGCAGTTGTCGATATATATATATATATATATATATATATATATATATATATATATATATATATATATATAACTTTCCATATTTATAGATTTACACTCTCTATGTAGCAAAATAAGACAAGATCTGTCTCGATGGTCTCCTCTCTTTTGTTTACTTTAACAAACCGCCATCGACATTTGCGCGCTGTGATTTCTTTATTAATTTCCGTCTAATTGAATTTTTAATAGCCACTGGATGTTTACCTTTCTGAAAGTTAATTATTCCCCCATAAGAACTTTGATCTAATAAATTGAATTAAGAAAATTTTAAGATGCAGTTGAATGAATTAGCATTAAATTATTTAAAAACTGGAATTGGATTTCGTAAACTAAAAATGTAAATTTTCATTATTTTCAGGAAATACAATTATTTATTTAGAGCAGGGCTCTGCCTAAAATCATATTTACACACGCACACACCCACACGTATCTCTCTATTTCTCTCTCTCTCTCTCTCTCTCTCTCTATATATATATATATATATATATATATATATATATATATATATATAGGCTGTAACAGCAAACTTGCCCAACTCGTGTAACAGCATGATTACTCATCCCAAAAATTGTTGAATATCTAAAAAACTACTAAACTAATTGGGTTTCTTTTTTACAGGCCTTCAGATAAGTATTTTAGCCAACTTGACACCCCTTGTCATAAGAATCACTGAAAAACCCTTTGAGTTATTCAGCTTAAAGAGAGCAGACTAAAATTGCTTTGTGTCAGAACCACTGTCTTCCCTATTGAGGGATGAGGAGAGGAAAAGGAGCATTCAGGATTTCAGTAATGGTATCACCATTCATACTCTGGCTTCCATCTTCAAAGTCTATTCAAGAACCTTCAAGAGAACGGTGAATAAGTTTTTAAAAGAGGAAACAGTAGATAGAAAAACAGGATCAGAAGACCACAACAATAATTTCAACTTAGAGCTAAAGAGATAAATTTAAAAGATCTAACGCAATTCATAAGACGTTTGGCACATGGGGAGTAGTTTCACCTTTGACAGTCCAAAGAGCACTGAAAAATCTTGAAAATGAAATTGAACGTTAAGCATGTGAGTCACCTTGTTACTCCAAGACAGAAAGTTACTACGGTTAGAGGGGAAGATCATCATAAATAAATTGGAAAATGATCCTGGAATAATATATATATATGTGAGCTTTATTTCAATATTTCATGAGCTTCCGATTTTTAGCTATTATTAATTAATCATAAACATGTCATTTTCTTTTATGCTCGATTTCATCACGATACTTCTGTCAAGTTTAGAGAGTAATTATACATTCTTATTGTTCAAAGTAAAGCCTAATATTGGAGAATTCCAGTAAGATATCTTTAATCACTTCTTAGATACAACGTTTTAGAGCTAACATTTGAACAATTTTGCTGTTACACGATTTGGACAATTTTGCTGTTATACCCTGTACATATATATATATATATATATATATATATATATATGTGTGTGTGTGTGTGTGTGTGTGTGTGTGTGGGGGAGAGACAGACAGGGAGATGTTGTTGAAAAGTTTTCAAATCGAAAAACTTCCGAAAAATATAATCATACGTCCAAATATCTTAATTATTTTTGGAACTAATAATTTGATCACGTTCAAAAATGATAATGTCCCTTGTTGCGCAAACACAAACATATAGATATTACTTCAGACGTTATTATATTGGAAACTCCGTATCTTATTTTTATTTATTAAACATGTGTATTACGGCTATCGGCCTGCGCGTTCAAGAAATTTGAGTAAAGAAAAATGCGCTTGACCAATGGTTTGAACCTGCGTCTCTCTCTGTATTTTAAACAAACGTTTAACGTTGTGTACCTTACCGCGCAGTCACGTAGAATGATGCAGTTAGCAATGTTCTATTTTTCCATTTTTATGAAACCACATCTTCTTCACCCAGATTATTTTTTCAAAGGGTACGTATCTGCCCAGGTTTCGTATCCGAAATGTAAATAATGCGATTTCTAAATAGTTAATGTATTTATTTTATTCCGGCATTTTTATCATTCCAGATGTTATTATAATGGCGATTTCGTATTTGAAATAGACACTCCGCCTTTAAACTTCAAACTTCCATGAATCTCTCACGTACATTCATATCTGTTCGATGCGTATCAAAATGTAAACAAATGACGTCACACCTTATGAAGTCCGACAATTATTTTAAGACATTTTTATGTTTATACATTCTTTTTATAGCTCGATTAGCGTGGAAGATTGAAGTTTAAAAGCAATAAATCCGACCTTGCTAATCGAACGATTCTCTGTGGTTCTATCGGTTAAGAGCACGTCAGGCTAAATGACGGTTGCGTATAGAATACAAGTTCGAATCCTGTCGGAGGACGAATATTTTCTATGAAAATTTTTCGGACATTCAGGCCGCTAAATGTTATAAATGCTGTTTATTATAAAAACAGGGCATTTACTTAAATATTTGTATCTATAACAAGAATGTATAAACATAAAAATGTCTTAAAATGATATCAATAATAAACCTGGTATGGATCGCTTTGTAATTGTAGAAATAGCTAGCATTGCCCAATCGAAGTTAGCTTCGAATGTTATTTAACAAGCAACTAATAACCCATAAGAAAATAAGTTAAACCACAATATTTATATTGGAATTTCCGCGGGGGAATGGAAACAAAGACTTTACAACAATATGCACTCAATTTCCAACCAAACATTATAAGACCAAACTGTTCTTTCCAAAAAATTTTGAAAATAGTGAGAGAAAGATCTGAACCCTCAGAATGACTGAAAAATCAGAGCTTTTGCTCAAACTCCTAATAATTTTGAGTGTAGATGTAACCTGTGTATAGAGAAGAAGATTAGAATAATTAAATTCGAAAATCAGAGCATATTACTAAACCAAACGAATGAGTTAGTTCCCAAATGTCGTCGCAGGAGTAGGCTTAAGCTGATCTAGATTATTATTGATCTTGTTTAATCTGTTATTATCTAACACATATATCGTTATTTCTACTCCATTTCAATCCTATCTAATAACCTTCCTCCAACTTAGTTTTTTACATATATTTAATATTTTATTTGTATTTATTAATTATTAATTTATATTTAAACTTTATTTGTTATTTAATATTAATTTATTTTTATTAATATTATTCTATATTTAGTATTTATTTATTAATTTATACTTAATGCTTATTAATCTATATTTAATAATTTATATTTAATTTTTTATTTTGATTTTATTTTATTTAATAATTTTATTTAATAATTATTTTATTTATAATTATTTTCTTTATTATATTATATGTATTATTATTTTTATATTATATATTGTTTTAATTTTAAATATTAGATGTTATCTTTTTATTTAATATTTTTTGAAATATCTTCTCTAATTTTTGAATACTTTCAAGTAATTTTCCTCATATAAACTATCTATTGATGTTTTTCCTGAATTTTTGCTAGCATAAATTGTTTTTTTTTCTTTTTACAAAAGGAGAAAGTATAAATTTTGTTCTTTGACTTAGAAGTGATATTTACTATTTGCTATTATAATTTTAAAATTGTTTTCACACATGTTTTTATTTCTGTAAGTTTATTTCAACCTAAGTTGAGATGTCAATATTTTAAAATATAGGTCAAGGTTATTTCAACTGTCTTCTCAAACCAGAGACTCCTACTCCATGACTTTGGGGTTGATTCACTTATGCACCTCCATTTTGATTCTTCTTTTTCTTTTCCTTTTTACCTATTCTTCTTCTTCTTCTTCTTTAAATGTTTAAATTTTAAGCTCCTATTTTATTTCTTCAACCTTCTGAGTTGATAAGACCTACAAGTATGTCAAAATGACTATTCGAATGAGGTAATTTTGGATTTTTATTCTATAATATATACATCGAAATAAACAAGCACAAAAATATTTGTTAAAATCGCACTCGATAAAAGTCCTCAGTTTCAAATAAAATAAAAACCCTGTAGAGCGATTTAACATTTTAAAAAGATAAACGCTGACTGAAACACTACCGCGGTTTCGACTAACAAGGTTTCGTTAGGTGGTTTACTCATCGAATTAATCGGTGTTCCGGTCAGCGTTTTAGCTTTTTAATATATATATATATATATATATATATATATATATATATATATATATTATCGGAGATTAAAAGAAAAACATGTTAAAAATCACTACATAATAGCAATCGTGTTTCAACACTACAAATGTGTCTCCTAGAGTAAATTACTGGTGAGTGATCGAGCAATTTCAAAAGCGAAATATTTCTTTTTTGAAAGAGAAAGAGAAGACAAAAAGAAAACAGAATTAAAAAAAGGATTGTGGGTTTGCCATGATTAAACAATCAAATATGAGGCCTACGATAAAATCTAAACCAACTGAAAAAAATTTATATAAGTCATGACATAAAGTTGTTTACATAGAATTTACATTATTTTGTAGAATATAGAGAAGTATGACGTTCAACTTACACAGGAAGTTAAGGGGATAGTTTAGGGGTTAATTATTTGCCCATAGCTGGGACCCTAACAGATGCTACCACCCCGAGTCAGGGCGAACCTGGAAGCAATAACAATTAAAAAGTGGTTCCATGATTCTCAAAGCCTCTCTTGCTGCAGGGTGTCGTATTCAGGACGATATATTTTTTCTGGTTTCTGTAAGTGGGGAATCAATTTTCAATTAATTAACATAGGAAAATGAAACCCTTATTAATTTTTTATGAAATTTATGTTTTGTTTTGTTTTTTGTTTTTTTGTTTTTTTTGTTTTTGTTTTTTTGTTTTTTTTAGATATTCTTGATCCGAAATGTTTAACCTATTATGATAAGAAAATTGAAAAAAAAAATTTCTGGTCGCATGGAAGATTGTAATGATCGACGTGAAATGATTCTTCTTAGTCTGTCAGATTAGATAGGCTTCCGCCGGTCATCAATCACCATGGATTTCATCCCACCCATCTGTAAGGTTAGATCAAACCTGGGCAGGATGGAATGGAGGACAAGCTGTTGCCCATGCAATAAAGGGATAGCAAGTCCATTACAGCTTGCTACCAGCGCCGTTGCAAGAGCTGTCAGGCCAAGGCTGAAATCAGCGACAAACTGCCCAAGGGGCTCCAATACTGAATGTTTAGCTGTATAGTATATGCTACGCCAAGGCTACATACAGTTTTGAATTCAAAGTTACTTTCTCCTAGACCGGTTGCCAATTAATACCCAAGTCTATAGAACCCAGTCTTTCCTGCTATTTATCCATAGCTAAGTGGAGAAGAAGAGGATTCATACGTTTCCCGGGAGTATTAGCACGTAAGTGAATGTAATGGACCCGACTTGAATTCGAACTCTCCGGTTCCTCAATCCGAACTGCTATCCATTACTGCACCGTGTTTCCTTACTCCACCGTGTCTCCTTACTCCATCGTGCCTCATTACACCATAGTGTCTCCTTACTCCACCGTGCCTCCTTACTCCACCGTGTCTCCTTATTCCGTCGTGCCTCCTTACTCTATCGTATCTTCTTACTCCAGTGTCTCCTTACTTCACCGTGTCTCCTTCACCGTGACTCCTTACTCTGTTGTGTCTCCTAACTCTGTTGTGTCTCCTTACTCCACCGTGTCTCCTAACCCCACCGCCTCTCCTTACTCCACCGTGTCTCCTTACTCCGCCGTGCCTCCTTACTCCGCCGTGCCTCATTACACCATAGTGTCTCCTTACTCCACCGTGCCTTCTTACTCCATCGTGCTTCCTTACTCTATCGTGTCTCCTTACTCCAGTGTCTCCTTACTTCACCGTGTCTCCTTCACCGTGACTCCTTACTCTGTTGTGTCTCCTTACTCTGTTGTGTCTCCTTACTCCACCGTGTCTCCTTACCCCACCGTCTCTCCTTACTCCACCGTGTCTCCTTACCCCACCGTCTCTCCTTACTCCACCGTGTCTCCTTACCCCACCGTCTCTCCTTACTCCACCGTGTCTCCTTACTCCACCGTGCCTGCTTACTCCGCCGTGCCTCATTGCACCATAGTGTCTCCTTACTCCACCGTGTCTCCTTATTCTATCGTGTCTCCTTACTCCACTGTGTCTCCTTACTCCACCGTGTCTCCTTCACCGTGACTCCTTACTCTATCGTGTCTCCTTACTTCACCGTGTCTCCTTACTCCACAGTGTCTCCTTACTCCACTGTGCCGTGAAGATTATGTTGTAGTAAACTAATAAGGATTTCACTGTTTTCTTTTCTTTTTGCTGTTATGTTTCCACAAATTTTACCAAGTTTCTTCTGCCGTCGCTTATAATGCGACCACACACCATTACATGTCAACCACCAAATTTTACCGCCTTTGCGAAGTATCTTTTACATAGTCTCTGGTAAGTTGTTTTTCCTAATGAGATTATAATTACTTCTCACTTGTTCGATTGTGAATTTTTGATTGCCGGCCGAGACTCTCACCATCTTTCTTTCATCTTTCTTGTCTAACTTTTGTGGCATTCTTGTTTTTTATCTGTTTGTTTGTTTTTTACTTAAAACACTTCCGGTAGTAGCAAACGTCTTTTGAATGGTTTGAGCACTCTTTCTAGAAATTCTTAAGAGCCTGGCTATCTCTCGTTGAGTCATCTTCCTCTTCAAAGTCACAACCTTCGTCTTTGTTTTAGCAAAAATTCTAGTTATGATTTTAGTGTACAAAAGCAAGCTAATGTTCGACTACAATGAGTTGCAAAAGTACCGAACTTTTATGTTAATAAGTTCGAAGAATTCCTATTTAGAAATGTGCATATTATCATGACTTTTCTCATCTCAGATTTTTCATCGGACCAATAGTTTTGCATGGCCTTTTTTCAACTTCAACCTTCTTAAAGAGACGTATCTTCTCTTACACAGAATCTACGAAAAGACAAGAAGTTGCTTGCAAATCCTCAAGGCCCACAGACACTACTGATAAAGGATATTGTTAAACAATCTTGCGTAGGTGCGTAATCATTTAATACAGTAGGGCCCAAAATTTTGCACGCCAATGTATATACGAGTAGATTAATTTACATCGCCGCGCAAAATGGGATAAGCAAACCTAGTTCAAATCTCGCCTAGTTGGTTGCGTTCACTTTTACATAAAGGCATGGAACCATCTCTTCCCTCAGCCAGCCATCTATTAAATAACATAGTCGAGTGTGCTCTTTCATCCTGGATAGCAACCACCAGAAATAAAGAAAAACTTCCAACCGTGAAGACTGTAACAGGGAATTACTAACTTGATTGAGTGATTTGTTTGTTTTTTTGTTTTTTTACGGCTTATCAACCTTTTGCGGATTATTTAAAGCCAGAAAATGATTTTTAGAATTTAAGAATTGGAGATAATAATTATTTACTTATACATCAAGTAACCCATGCAGCGGGGTAAAGATTTGGATTCATGCCTTCCCGATATGTACATGTGCGTAAATAAATATATCTAACCCGACGCAATAAGAACTCGGCTATCCGATTGCCAGTTGTCTGTCGTCATCCATTATACCACCCATACATCCAAAGCTTACAGCTCCTGGTATTCCCAAGCGGTGAACCATCTAGGTAAAGAGCATGCTCAATGTTGCTTAACTTCGGTGATCGTACGTGACCCTCACCACCACCATCAGTGTTTAGAAGGCATGTCAATTCCAAGATAATAAAGAAATAGAAGAAATTAAATAGTACCTTAAAATATCCCTTGCAGACAATTGCAAACCGTTCGGCACATGACGTCACTTGCATTCGTCACACGCATATTTGAATTAGAAAAATGGCGCCGATAAAAAAAAAAAATAATGTCAGGATAATGATAATAAAAAAAATTAAAGCTAATAGATTTAACGTTACTGATAATGACTAGAACTTGTCGAAAGTACTAGAGCAAAATTATCTGAAAGTTTGAAAAGTTTCACCATAAATTTGATCACGTTGCGCGGGAAAATGTAACAAGAAATTAAGCAGACGTAATTTGTCGGTCGATTTCAATAAAACATATTTGAGAGAATTTTTGTTACCTTAATGTGTCCTTGCTATCTCTCTCTCTCTCTCTCTCTCCCACCCTCCCCCTATTTTTCTCTCTCTCAGACTTTCTCTCAATATATATATACATATATATATGTGTGTGTGTGTGTTTAGGCGGCACATTCTCTTTTCAGTATATCTGATTGAATAAATTACAGACATTATGTCTGCTAATTTTTAACAAAATCCGTTCATACTTGCGAATAACCTTCCGTGTATTGATGTTAAAGGATGAGAGAAATGAGCTAGAAGAGTTTAAATGTCTTTCATTTTCATTTCCCAAGTACTTTCAATCTTCTTCTAAGATCATCTTCAGGGGTGCAAGTAGTACAAAACTATGTTGTTCATGGGTACAAGTATTTATACAAAGTTATGTGTTGGTATCCATTACCGTAATTTTTCATTATGTTTTTAAATGCCAACGGTTGACAATGTGATGAACGTTCATTAGAACGTGAAAAAATTATCCATTATGGAATTTTTTCCTCTATGATATAATGCCATGGCCATGCGCGTGAAAACTGTTCTTTATAGGCATTTCAGAACATTACTGCAGTATTCATAGTTAATTCTGTTCAGTGCCGGATTTAATTGCTACTATGATCTGTAGCTTGAATTCATTATTTTCTTGTTTTAGGATAGTTGTGTTCATACTAACATATCTGCCATAGATTCTAATAAAAAAATAAAATTAATTATATATTATAAAAAATACAATACAACGAATTTGATTATTCGTAAATAAATCTAGTCCGTTGAAGGGATGGGTTGCGTCTCGTTAAACTATTGTCTACTTTGTCATAAATCTTTGATTCAAAATGGTTTTTGATAAATGAAATTTTCTATATCGTTTCACACACACAACACATATATATATATATATATATATATATATATATATATTTCATTGTGTGTGTGTGATAACGATATTTCTTTTTATTTAAAAGTATATATATATATATATATATATATATACTTTTAAGTTATGCTATGTTTATGACTTAAAATACTCGGTATCAAGGAGAGAGCGTATGTAAATATAAAAGTGAGCATTGAGGTTAACAGCCAGCGGACACAGTCGCTGAATGTCGATGTCCACTTCAACCACGGCCTCCAGGCGATTTCGCAATCTCCTGCATCTCTTCTGGATGATCTCCTTGTTTAAGTTGGTGCGTGCTGCCATAATCCTTGCCTTTAGTTCATCTTCGGTGTTACAAGGAGTTTCGTTAATCTCTCGCTCAACTTCGTTCCACAAATAATAATCAAGGGTTTGCAGTCTGGGAAATTATGTCGCCAGATGTGTTTGCGTTACCTCATCAAGACCGAGGCCCTCACCAATAAATTCGGGAGTTCTTTACTTGTCAGAACGATTCATAAAACTCTTCCGAATTCTCTGCACTGTCCTCAGTTTCAAACCCAAAGACTCTGGTGCTAATAAAATAGTGTTTGATGTATAATGACAGGAGCTATAATTTGTATTAATAGCAAATACACATTTTTTTCTCAACAATAGCACAACTGTTAGCTACAACGGTAACGCAATCGCCACATGTTGATTGAAAAAAAAATCGTTGTATTATTTTAAATATTGATATTTATGCCGTACTGTAACGATAGTGAAACTGTCCATTTATTTCCGGGTGGGGTTAATAAAATATTTAGATTATGCAACTGTGAGTTTTCAATCAGGACTTGATGATGTCATTGTATATGAAACTCAAAATTATGCTACCGATGAAGACAAAAAAATGATATCGCATTTTCATTTTTATATATATATATATATATATATATATATATATATATATATATATATAATATAAAATATATTTTTATATATATATATATATATATATATATATATATATATATATATATAAAGAGAGACAGAGGCAGGGACGGAGACAGGAGACAGAGAACGGTCGATTTATTTATAGAAGAAAATACAATGAAATACATCCATTTTACAAACATATATACATATAAAGTAAATTCACACATATATATATATTATATATTCGTTTAAATACACATATTATTCTTCACCGCTACATGACTCAGAGTTTTATGCACAACGGAATCTTCAGGTACTAAATATGGACTGAATGTTACGTAATTTTTAAATATTATATATATATATATATATATATATATATATATATATAAACACACACACACACACACACACCCATATATATATATATATATATATATATATATATATATATATATATATATATATATATATATTAAAGACATTTTTTATGTTTAACATTTTTTTATAGATAACATTTACCCTGAATGTCCGAGAAATTTTCATGAAAATTTCTCAGACATTCAGGCCGGTAAATGTTATTTAATACTGTTTATTATAAACAGACCATTTACTTAAATACTTGTATCTATAAAAAGAACGTTAAACATAAAAATGTCTTTAATAAATAAATTGTCGGACTTTGTCCATTTCTTAATATACATATATATATATAGATAGATATATGTTTTTTGCAATACTGGCGAAGTTATATATTGTACTGGAATTAGAGTTTATTTTCATTTTTAAAAATTATATTTGGCAATTAAAATGAAAGGGAAATGTATATTTTGGTAAAAAAAAATTAAGAATTAATTTTTGAGTTGATAATATTCATTCAAAAAACTCAAAAAAAGGAAGATTACTTGTCCTTCTTTAAAAACAATAAAAAAGCAAACAGTAATTTATATTAAACATAAATAGTAATTTACATTTAAATTAATATATATATATATATATATATATATATCCACACAACAGATGAAGGCAAATATATATACAAGTTTAAAATATTTTAAAAAAATATATATATATATATATATATATATATATATATATATATATATATATATATATATATATCCCATAATTATAATTTAAATACAATTTATACACATACATATTTTCAAAATAATACACATATATACACAAATAACATTAAAATATTCACATATACAAATAAATAAGAATATACATCCACACGTACATATATATATACATAAGTACATAAAAATATGATATTACAGTTTATATCTTTATATACACATGTACAAAACT